CACAGTCCTTTTATTTTCATATACTCCAGGCACTTTATTTGTAAGTCCACACAGGAGACAGCAGCAAATGAAAACATAAATATAACATCCCTATAAACATAAACCTAGCTCGTCTGAGCACTTGCTAACATCAGGTTCCCTATCTCTCAAGGGTTTAAACTATAACAGAATAATAATTGGTTTCACCAACCTAGTGCCTTTGTCAGATTTCTGCACTCAACACTCAGTAAGCATGTGGCTTCCATTCCTTTTAAGAAAGAAACAATTCTCTCTCCTTTCCGCACTCCAGTGCTCTCAGCTAGCCTGCTGCTTTCTTTTCTGCACTCCCAGTGCTCAGTCTCCTTGACTCTCACAGGAGAGAACAGCGTCTCCTTCCTGCTTCCTGGGAGGAAGCCAGCAATCCCCCTTTACCTGTCTAGCAGGGAGGGGTTTATTCCCATTGCTGCAGCTGATTATCTGCAGCTGAGCAGTGGGTTGGAGACAAAACGCTGACCTGGAACTTATTTCTCCCATTTGTATGCAAACTGCGGAGTGGAGCATTGGCCCACCCTGCTCTCCAATTGCTCCAACCCAGGGTCCCATAACTAAACTTTGGTTTGTGTTGCCTACAACACATACTACACATACTCCCCCCTGGAGTTAAAGTGAAGGCAGCTAGGCCTATAACATTTATCACAGCTGGTAGCTTTTTCATCCTTTTGTCATCTCAAACTCAAAGACCATTAAATTATATTTAACCGGCATCCAACACCACATGTATACCTTATACCCAGATAACCATAGTTTATTTATTTTTAATTTTTTAATTTTTTTTTTTTGCATCTTACCCCATTTAAAACATACTAAAAAGGCATACAGAAAACCAGTACCACTCCTCCAACCACAAGATTACCAATGCACAGACCGTTATTTAAGGACATGTCTGACTTATTGGATACTGCCCCGTTTGAACACACCACAAATCTGGTAATAAAAACAGCAATTTGGTTTATTACGCTTTTCTTAGACCTTGCGAATTTAGCATACATGGTAACAAATACGCACGAGACTGCCTCAAACGTTTCTATCTCATTAAATGACAAGATCACTATATCTTGTCCCTACCCGTTACTAAAACAAGTCAGCTGGGTAAAGTAGTGCATATCACATATTATCCTACTTCAAACAAGTGGTGCCCAGTAAATGTACTGAATACATATCTCCAATCATTACCACCTTAGTCTGACATCCTGCGGCTAGTCCTCCACAAAGCTGTCTTAACAGCGAAATTCATGCAGTACGTATGCATATTACTGACCAGACTAGGTCTGAATGCTAAGAATTTTTCTGGCCATTCTTTTCGGATAGGGGCAGCCTCCACAGCCTCTAGTCCCGATATTCCAGTACACGTAATTAAGTCTTTGGGCAGCTGGAAGTCATCAGCATTGGCTTTGTGTATACCTCAACCGGTGTTAGAAATTAGGTCTGCCTTTGTTAAATTGTCATCTTGAGGTATTTTCTTTGCACTATGTTTCATCTATGCAATAAATATTTATTTGGTAAGACACTGCTAATTTTTACCTTCTTTATTACAGGCCACCACATACGTCGGTTTCGGCACACTTCAACCGACTTGTTCATATCTATAATTTACACCATGCTATACATACGTTTACGTTACAAGAATAGCACCATGCACACAAAAAAATTATATACATACACACAATATATATACATAAATTATATGCATACACTAATATATATATATATATATATATAGTGTATGCATATAATTTATGTATATATACATACATATATATATACATACACACAATATATATATACATAAATTATATGCATACACTATATATATATATATATATATATATATATATATATATATATATATATATATATATATATTGTGTGTATGTATATAATTTTTTTGTGTGCATGGTGCTATTCTTGTAACGTAAACGTATGTATAGCATGGTGTAAATTATAGATATGAACAAGTCGGTTGCTATACATACGTTTACGTTACAAGAATAGCACCATGCACACAAAAAAATTATATACATACACACTATATATATATATATATATATATATATATATATATATATATTGTGTGTATGTATATAATTTTTTTGTGTGCATGGTGCTATTCTTGTAACGTAAACGTATGTATAGCATGGTGTAAATTATAGATATGAACAAGTCACTTGATTATATATATATATATATATATATATATATATATACATACACACACACACACAGATTTGATCTTGGTTTATATTTATTCATTAAGGTAATTTTGATTTTAGTTTATTAGTTATAAGTGATAAGCACTTTAATAATAATACCCACTTATGTCATTTAACCAATCTTGGAGTAAGGACTTATCTCACGGCTCGATCTGATGTGAGTATAAGTGGAACACATTTGGAATGCACACACCATCACTTCCACATGAGTGGAAGGTGACTTATAAGTACACGAACTCCAGCACCCGGAATGAAATGGAATGCATACTTGGAACACATGAATTAGCGCGTGCTGCACAATGTAGGAAAGCCAATAAAAGCATGGATAGATTAATTAAGAGGGGTTTATAAGAATATGGTGGGCAGGGAAGTTTATATTCATGCTTAACTTGTACTATCTGCAGAATTGTCCCTAATGTGGGATTGCTATTACCAACTAATGAGTAAGTGAATAAAATTGTATTTTGCACTTTATCTTGCTCATGTTTTATCTGGTTGCACCTCACAGATTTTCAACTCGATGTGGACAATATAAATGAAATAAACACTTAAATTATACCTTAATTTCTCGATTAGTAGAAGCACCATCTATAATGGTTACTTATATGGATCTGGTGAGGACTAATGTTGACTTTTGGGGATCAATTGTGAATAGTTTATAATGTAGTATATAATATGGTATCTGTTTTAAATTTGTAAAAGCAAGTTTAAGAGGAGTTAAATAAAAAGTTTACAAAGGGAAACCAATTCAGAGAGCTTTCCACATTTACTATTAATTATAGAATGCTAATATATTCCACATAGCTTTATCCTATATCCATTATATTATAGACTAACAGAAAGGTACAGTTATGGTACAAAGGGAATTGTTGAAAAATGATGTTCTGTGGAATCTCTTACAACAACCTGGCACTTTGTGAATATGACTTTCACCTTCATGTCTTTTTATCCCAAATGTTCTCTCCTCTGGTTTTTCATCTCTAAATTGCCTCAATAGCCCCATGTCTCCCCACCCATAATAGTGTTTGATTTCTTTTTTCTTTCTAACCTCAGACCTTATATTTCAGACTGGACCCCTTAAAACCGTATTAACATCCAGCACTCCCAAGCAACTAAGTCCTGCAGAATGTACAAGTAATATTACTCCTAGATATGGTAGTATAATATGGCACAAAAAAAAAAAAATTAAGGAAGAAATGATACCAATGGCACCAATTACTCCTATTTTTAAATGCTTATTAAAGTGTCATAAGAAAAGGTAACAAATAGAACAGTTTCCACAACTCTAGTCTGCCCAATCTCTCTTCATAGCAGAACCAAAGCTTAACCTTTTTCCTGACTGAGGCCGTACTGCATCGAATATGGAAATTCTGTATTTTATTTCAGTTCTTGTGTTTGCAATATATTTAAGATTCTGTTTAGACTTATTAAATTTAAAAATGTAGATTTTAGGGAGATTCTATACAGTTTCTTGGACTTAATTTCTTTGAATTTACCACATCAGAATTATAATATCTGTAATTGAAATAAAATTAGCACAAGAAACAGTCACACCAAGATTCAGTTTATAAAAAGAATAAAAATAAACTGCCGTTTATTGAACAACAAAATCTGTTAATATGGGCGATGCCAAAACATAATACAATGGGTTGGGGGTAATTCGAATTCAATGGGTTACACAATTGAATTCAGCTTAATATTCCAAATTAACCAGCTAACTCAGTTGTAATGCAAATACATTTAGAAAAAAAATACATTCAATTTCGTGTCACACCCATCCCTTTAGTCAATTAAGTTGCAGAAAAGAATTATTGCATATTCAAATAGTTACCATTGTATTTTAGTATAGATCTGCATTTTTTGTCATGTCTGAAGACAGATATTTGAGTTTTCATTAATCACTATACCGAGCATTGTGGACCCCACTTTATATATATATTTTAGTAAAACATGTTTTCAGTTCTCCTCAAAGTTAAATTGTCAGGAATGTCTCAAACTCCTAATTTATGAGGTAAAAATATATTCCTACATAAAGTAGGCCAGTAATATGTCCACCTTTAAAATATTAAAATTGATCTGTTATCAGGACTCGAGTCTTTCCTCAGCAGGAACACCGTTCCCGTTACTAGTCCTGCAGGGCCTGACCTTTGCGTAGCAAGTCTCTCTGATGCTCAGATGGTTAAAATATCCTTTGGAGGCAGATATTTCTGTAACATGTAAGTCACACCATGGTTACAAATAACTTCAATCCAGAGCTTGGCAGCATTAAATACAATGCATCTTCACCAGTATCAAAGTTGGAGTTTGGAATGTGCAGTTCCTGTATGTGATACACTGTGTATCAGTACAGTGAACTTTCAGAATGGTGAATCCACTGATTGATAAGACATTCCAACTCCGATACACTTTAACAATACTGACACTATACTGAAACTGAAAAGACACCCCACTCTTACCTATAGCAGTGTTTGGCTGACATGCAAAGATGGAGAGATCGTTTCCACTTACTTGAGCCAAGCAGATGCTAGCAATACTTAAGGCTAGGACCAGAAGAGGGGGCACCCACTCTGGACAGTCTGAGCCATAGTACAACCTATGGCTAGGCAAAAAGGCTGAGTATCCTTCCCTCTGCCCGATTATGGGACCCACAAGAAAATCCCCCAAATGAATCAGCTAACACTAGCTGCAAGGTAAGCCCTGGAGAAAGTCTCAAATCCTTATGTTTATTAATAACCTGGGAGGAGGGCAGTGATGTTTGGAGGATGCTTGGACTATGGGATGGGAGGAAAGAGTGCTACAGGTCTTTTAACCCTTCAGGTTGAGTCTCCAATGCAACATGTGGTGTCAAACTCCACTTTTACATGCACAACCCTGGCTTAAGCAATGGGTTACTAAACCTTAACCTCACTCTCTCTTATAGGTAGCAGATCATCATTTTTACTGCAACATTCCCACGCAGACACCATCATGACGTTTTTTTTATTATCAATAACTTGGAGTTCATCAGGGGTCCTGGTCAAATATCCACATCATTTGCATACTATGATATAAATATGACTGCATTTATTTTATTTGTGTGTTGGTCTGTGAATGGCATTAATGGTCAACATCTGGCTCTTTAATGGATACATTTAATTTGAATGAGCCTTGAACTTGTAAACATGCAATAATTAGTGTAATAGGCACACCACCAGCAGTCTGACCTCAGTGCAAAGCGACATGTAAGATAGAAAATAAGGGTGCACCACTTTAAACATTAAATCTTCATAAATATAAAAAGATTGAGCATATCAGAAATTACATATATATCACGGTATGAAGCCAATACAATTAACAGTTAGAATTACAGCAAAATAATTTTAGTAGAAACATCATGTACTGGATAATAAACAATTTCAGAAATCCATTCCACTAAAGTGTCAGCTATAGTTGATGTCAAAGCGAAACTGACAAAAGTTCTGAAGCCAAAATTTTGGAAAGAGGCAGCACAGGACATCAAATAATGGCCTAGCTAGTAAAATGTAAAAGATATTTGCAGACCTTGTTATTTGCAGGTTTCATATTTATTGCTGATAGTTCTACTTTAATTATCTTATCAATACCCATTGTACAGCGCTACGGAATTTGTTGGCGCTATATAAATAATAAATTAATAATAATAATAATCATGTACTTGTGTGCAAATGTCATAATACAGATTGATGATTTTTTTTAAATAAAAATTTATGGTATGCAGTGATTTTTCTACATTTAATTACTTGTGAACATGCCACCTTGTGTGTTCTCAGAAATACTGTCAACTATTTTACCCTTAACATAATCCCATTTAATATAAGGCATATAACAGAACAACAAAATTCTGCCTAAGCCACTGCCTGTACTGCTACATACAGTACCTATACATATGCAATATACTGAAAGACACTACAAGCGCCAAAACAACTTTAGCTACATGGAGTAGTTTAGGTATATAGATCATGCCCCTGCAGTCTAACTGCTCAATTTTCTACTTCAGAGGAGTTAAATCACTTTGTTTATGCAGCCTTAGTCACACCTCCCATGTATGTGACCTACACAGTCTATTTCCTGTGAAGTGAGATCTAATGTTTAAACTTCCTTTATAGAATAGTCTGTTTAATTTAAAATGTGTTATTCCCTGCTCTGCTAATACAAGCATATATTTTTTTTTTTGGGGGGGTGGGGGTGGGGTGGACCTTGGGTGAGTTCCCACACTTTTTCCCCAGGACTTGACCCCTGTCTTTTATGATATATAATCTATGTTCTTCTGTTACCCAGTCTCCATACGTCAGATATAGTGTATCCATCCATGCCTTTTTAAGTTTCACTGACTGGGTGCAATACTAGGCCTGATTTAATACCATGCATTATAGGAATGCTGGGCACAGTGAAAGAGGGTTCAAATAGCAATGTTACCATGGGGACCAGGACAAATTGCCAGATTGAAAGAGCGTGGATTGCAGATAAGCTGGGGAGAAGATTTAAGAAATTTCCATAGAAAGAATTCTAGAAGTCATCATGCCCAATCTCCAATTTTGGATTTCCTTTCCATTTACACAAGATCCACTCAATTTTAAAAAGGAAAAATTGCCATTAATGGGACAAATGTTAGTGTAGCTGGGTGCATGATAACCATCATTCTTAGTGTAGTAGTACTATAAGACAGGAATAGCCTTTGGTTAACTCTGTATATAGATAAAAACAGTGGGAATCAAACAGAATCTTCATAATAAAATGTATCTTTAATCACCTCCTAAAGTATTATTTCCAAATTATGTTTGAGGTGAATATTTGCTCAAAAGGAAACAAAAATGGAAAAACAAGGAGTTCAACTAATTGAAGGTTATGCAGCATGAATGCACACCCTCCATAATAATTTTGTGAGTTATTTGGAGAAGTCATACTCACCCACCCCACCCAACACCCCCATCCTGATAATCTCTGGAATATACACACTATAGGGTTCATGCAAGATAGATTAGGAGCTTCAAAAATGAATAATTTGGGGTAAAAAGAAATACCAATATGTGAAGAAGTATTGGATAGTTTTAGGTCAACAACACAATATATGAGATTTATAGCAGGTTACAGCTGGTAGAATAGTATGGTTTAATATTTAGGCAGGTTATAGAATAAAAGGTTATTTTAAAGCCAGTTGGTTGTCTTTACCACATAGTTAATTATTGGGGTTATAGTTTTAAATATATATTTAACTTTATCTTTATCCTAAACAGAAAAATAAGATTGGTGGGATAACAAAAATTGCATATTTTTTATGCAGACTTGGTGACTTTTGGTTAATAAGGAAAGGTTTGTTTAGTGATTTACACAATATATTGCATTGTTAAGGACAATCAATTTGACGTCAAATGTATATATTGAGAAACTATAGTATAGACCAATTTCTAATCATAAAATCTAATAGCAGAAACACAATAATATTGCATCTTTCAACCTCCACAGTGATCATGTGCAACTTTGCCCATAAAAAAACTTGATGAATAAGGTCTCAGAAAGAGAGGTGCTGGATTTTTTTAAAGTTAAAAGCTAACTTTTAAGCTTGCTAAAACCTTACTTTTAAGCTTGCTACACACACACACACACACACACACGATAAAGAATTTTTTTTTACATTGAATATTATGATTTTCCCGCTCCTAGACTATTTCATTTAAGTTTCCCTCCACAAGGTTTATGCGATTTCTTTAAAATGTTTGCTTAAAAAGGTAATTCTAATGCTAATAATGCTAACAGAACAGATACTGCAGTGTGATACTCCACCCACTGCTTAAACACTGACCAATAGAAATCTTCACACCTATTAACATGACAAAGGCTATTGGTGGGATACTCAATTTGCATTTAATTCAGGGAGGGGTTTATGGTTTAGTCAGGGCAGTTTTCCTATAAAAGACCATTAGCAGGCTTACAGCCTTCAGAATTTGTCTTCTTGTTGATTTAGCAGGAACCTCTTGAAGACATTGGACTGTAGGAGACAACTTCCACCTGTTGAACTTTCGAAAGATCACTTTTTCAATATTCCAAAGTGATATCTCAACCCAGAGTTGATAGTAATATTGTAAAGGTAAGATCTACACTTCCTTATAACCTGATACAGTATGTTTGAATGGAGTGGGATTATTTTATTTTATTTTTTTTAACACATCATGGTGACATAGATAAGTTGCAAAGAGTAGGTTAGAATAGTAGAGATGGAAACGGTCTACAGCTCCTCTAGTTTGAAATTTGGTTATTTTGCTATACAACAAAATTTGTTTAAAGAAACTAAAACGTTCTATTTCAGTATTCGGTTAAACAATTAGATGTTCAGGAAATAAAATGTACATGATAATTATTCCTGTTGGATGAATAACATTTGGTTCTCTGTGTATGTTGGACTAAATTTCACGTAAGTCTCAATCACGCTATAGGTTGACTTAGAGTTTTAGTACACAGTAGGTGGAGAGAGATGTTTTAATGTGTAGATTGGTTTGTGAGACTGGTTCTGTCCTTTAATTCATAGCATATAATTCATTTGGGGTTAGTCAGGACACTCTGGATCTGGAATATTAAGGGGATTTCTGTACGTTGGCTCAATCTAATTTGGTTAAAAAAATTTAATCTATTTAATACCGTTTAATTATACACTATAAATATACAATTTGGATTAAAAAAAAAAATCTATAAAGTTCTACCTACTTTTACATTTAAGGTCTTGATTATATTATACACAGTCCATCTGTTATATACAGTTTCTCAAATTGTATTAAATATTCATCAGGGCTATTAACACACCCTATAAATGCATTTTGCTGTCTTTTTACCACTTTCTTTTTACCATTTTCTGGAGGAAGATCTCTCCCTGGATCCACTCTGAAGAACTGGTCTTTTCCTCTTCCAAAAACTATTAGAGATACACTGTACCATGCTTTCATTATTTCTTTTGGGATTGCGAAGTTCAACTACTCTTTGGCAGGAGAAAAGGAGTGGGAGAGAATTGTTCTACATGGAATGGGCTGATTTGTCTTGTAGTTTAGGTTTACACACTTCATAGCTTTAGATTGCAAGGTCTTAAAGATTACAAATCTGTATTCTGATTCAGAACAGCAAAACTATAATTTTGGTAAATGTACAGAGGATGCTAACACACATGGGATTTTAGCATTCACTGACAGTTTGTCAAACATGTTATAGCAAAACATTGGTTAAATATTAGCATCATTAGTAATGAAGATTTATCTTTACTTATAAAAGATTATAAAAAAGCAGTTTTTAAAACTAATGTTTTGCACCCTCAGGTCTACGCTTCAGATCTGAGTAAAGAATCTGCCTTCCAGCTCATTGCAATGGAAAATACATCTGAAAACCAAGAGATCCAGATTATTCCAGAGCAGTACCAGGTTCTTGAAAAGCTTGGAGAAGGGACCTTTGGTCAAGTTTTACTGGCTCATGACAAGCTAGCAGGTACATAGACAGTTTGAATATCCCCGAAACCTTTGTTGGCACATGTGTTCATCTAATAACATACAGTATCTAGAATAGTTGATGGCTATAACAACCTGTAATTCAAGCAGAAATTTCACTTTTTGCACAACATGGTAGCCAACAAAAAGTTAGTTATTTTGTCTTTTTATTTACATTGTATATCTTGCTGCACTGGCACATCTAAAACAATAGGCAAATAAAATTAATTTCTAAGTGTCGCATGCACGCACGAGGCACCTGGAAATAAATACTGGAGGACAAAGAGAACGGTCTTAATAGTATTAAACATCCTCATGCTACTCCTGACACATTAATGTTACTATAGTTGATTGTATTCATGAAAATAGTTTTAACAACCGTCTTGATAATTTTTACCAGGTCGATCAGTGGCGCTAAAACTGATGAAGAAAGAGAAAACCCACCAAGATGCCTTTGTCAAGGAATTCAAGGTTGCGGTCTATCTTTCTCATCACAAGGGTATCATTACTACCTACCCCTACTTCTTTGATAACCTGCACAACTACATCTATGTCCAGGAGGTGGCAACAGCAGGGACCCTTGAAGCCATTATTGTTGAGAAGGTAAGAAAAATAAGCGAAACAATTGCTTTGGAATAACCTCCGTGGTATTTTTAAACAGATTAGTAACAACGCATGGTCTTGTTAGAGTTTCTATGCTAATTTAGGCATGGGCAACTTGATACCCTATTCCCCATGTACTATAACAAAATCTGGCAGAGGAGATTTGCTGGAAATTTATATCACCAAGAACAAGAAGGCCACTGGTTACCAACACCTGTTCTAGCTGCATCTTAGTTTGGTTAAATAATTATCAATGGGGAGCTTAGCCTTTGAAGCAACCGGTCGCATGTGCCTGGAGCTCCGGGCCTCAAGCTGTAGAAAACACACTTTCTGACACAATTATCGCCTGCTAAGGGGACCTGGAAACCGCCACCAGTCCGTCCAAAGACCATAGGGCGAAAATCTAAAAAACCCAAGCCAGATAGACCGAACATGGGGCTAAATATCGGAGAAATGTGGCAGCAAACGCAGGGCGCACACGGACCTAAAATGGCTGCCCTCTCGGGAGGATGCTTGGATTTCTCAGATGGGCTCTCCTTGGATGAGGAAGAAGACTGCATACCTGCCACCTCGAGGCCGAAGACAGGTCCAGCGACACCGGACAGCTGTCCTCTAGGAGCTCCTGGCAGACTTGAAACCACCCTCCAGGCAGAAATAGCCACGATCTGCGGAGGCTTGCAAGGCCTGATGGGCCGCATTGGAGCCCTTGAGGAGGCCACACAAACAGGCACACAGCGCATGAACACGCTGCAACAGGAGATTAGAGACCTACAAAAACAAAATCAATTGTACGACCGCCGTTTCGCGGCACAGGAAGATGCCAGACGCCGGAACAATATTAAAATCAGAGGGATCAAGGAGGACATACCTGAAGCTGAACTGACACATTTACTAAATAGATTATGGAGCGCCCTGCTGTAACCGCGTCAAGCTAAAGCTGTCATGCTGGATGGCATCTTCCACATCCCCACGCCGACCAAGGCACCAACTGATGTCCCACGGGACCTGGTGGTACAATTCCGGTCTGGGACTGATAAAGAAGCAGTCCTCCAAGCCCTCAGGGGAACACCCCAATTCCAATTTTAAGGCATGACGCTATCCTTTTACCAGGACCTCTCGAACAGAACCCTGGCCTGGCGGATTGCCACAAAAATGTTTGATTGTTTCTTTAACGGGTACCCGCTGTTGTGGCGCTACTAGCATGCTTGTTATATCCTAAACACGAAAAAAAAGAATTAAAATATAAAATAATTATCAATGTTCAGGTTGAGGTCATTTAAAATTTTAATAACACAGCCATCTCCATAAAAAGTGCTAATTACTTTGTCAACCCTTGCCTAATATTGAAATAGCTGAAATATTCTGTTCAGCAGCATATATCCTTGAGAACTGGATGTATGACATACATTGATAATTAAACAAGTATGTAAATCATTGCTTACAACACAACCAATATTTGAGGAATACTTTTGCTAGAGGAGAGTTATCAGCTGATTTATTAAAATGTTTTTGAAAATATTGGTAAATGTGTTTATTTTTCTCTACTGGATATTATACTGAAATATGTTGTTTTTATCTAATCTTCTAGGTTGGGTTACCAGAATACATTGTGAAGCGTTGTGCTGCTCAGATTTCCGAAGCATTATTTTTCATTCATAATCAAGGGTTGGTGCACAGAGACCTGAAACCAGACAACATCTTGCTTATGGATAAAGAATGCCACAACATCAAGATCGGAGATTTTGGTCTAACAGAACGTTTTGGTAGATTCATCCCATCGATGTCTCATATAATACCATACATGGCACCTGAGCTTTCTATTCTGGAACCTAACCAGTATCTACACTTGGGTCCAAGTATTGATGTCTGGGCATTTGGAGTCACCCTGTATGTAGCTCTCACTGGCTGCTTTCCATGGCTGGAAGCTGTAAACAGAGACCATCAATTCCAGATATTTGCAAGCTGGAAAACATACGGCGAGATAGACGCTCCCCCTGTTTCCTGGCAGAGTTTCACCAGGGAAGCACTGGTTATGTTTTCCAGTTTACTTTCACTGGATCCTTCCTTTAGAATGTCTGGTGGTATTGTTTACAATTACCTGCATGTACCATGGAAATACAAAGAGCTGAACATTAATAGGTGAGAGGTTTAAGCTCTTTGTCAGACAAGGACAGGAAGCAATGGCAGAGCTTACAGATGTCATGACACTTGTACATGGATATCAAGCGTAGTAAAAGGACCTCAGGTCTTCAAGGATGCCGTGTACATGAAGGTAGGTTTGTATTATTCATTTGTTTATTTATAAAATATTTTACCAGAAATACAGATTTCTAGCATTTTTCTGCATGTCCTGGGCCCACTAAAAAACTACTTTATTACGATAGGGTACAATAAAATATTCAAAATACAAAATATTAATACACAGATATATAAATTTAATACAGAACAGGCAAGAAATTTAATCAACCATGATTATAGGTGCATTCTGTTTTGAGATATGTAGAGAGAAATTGGTTAAAGGATTTTAGGCTGTCCGGAAGGTTATTCCATAATAGTGCTCTGTCGGGAAAAGAGGATTGCAACATTTTCATTTTGTATTGAGGTAGACTAGATAAAGTACTGGTACTGGATCAGAGGTTATAAGAGTTGGGAACAGCCGTGGAGTACATTCTGCTCAGGTAGGGTGTGAGCTTTCCAAAAAAGCTCTTAAATACAAGGTTGAAAAGATTAAGGTTCCTGTCTTGATTCCAGCAATAGCCAGTTTAGTTCTTTTATTATGTCACAATGGCTGGTCAAGTCACTACAGTGTAGCAAAAAGCAGCAGGATGAGTTATACAATGTAGTAAGTTTATGAAGGTGGATTTGTGATACAGGTGCATACACTACATCCCTATATAGGGTATATCTGTGTGTGTCTTAACCATCCTTTATCGCCTCTCTCATCCATTCTTAAATACTTCAAAAAATCTGCTTAAAAATAGAAGTAATCACATTAAATATTTATGAAATGATGGGTAAACATTTCATATACAATCTGTCCAATAATTTAACATATACCTTCCCCCTTTCCTTTTAATTTTTATTGGGGGAAGGATGTGGGCGGTATAAAATTGAACATTGAATTGGATATACCCATTAAGATAGATTTAGTTAAGCCCCATATGAAAGAACGCATCCATATATAAAACAGTTTATTCAAGTGTCTTGTGCATAAATTTAAATAGAGTTCATGTATTATGCTTTATACTAGAATTTTCATTTTTTTTTGTGTTCTTTTTTTCCCATTAATAAAGTTTATTTAGATTTGAAAAAAAGTTTAGTTACAAACACTTTAACCCCTTAAGGACACATGACATGTGTGACATGTCATGATTCCCTTTTATTCCAGAAGTTTGGTCCTTAAGGGGTTAATCATACCCACTCTTTCCCTTTTTTCTACATGCCCATTGAATGACTTTAACAAAGGACTACTCACAGCTGATCGGGCAGTGAGTGACGTGGAACGCATACATCATCGCTTTCATGACAATTATGCGAATGGGTGTGGACTTACAAGCACACATGCTTGGGCACAGAACAAAGTGGGATCACATCAAAAAGGACAGAACCCTGAACTGAATAGGAGTAAATCTATCTGAGCTGGGAAAAAAAAAAAATAGTTGATCCATCAATGCTTTCTATGGCTCCTAAGAGGGGGTTTATATGAGACTTGAGGGTCTTGACATCCTTCTCTTGCCAGATTATTCTAGCTGGGCACCTTATGACCGGTAGGGCATATGTACTGATGGCTTGGATCTTGTTCTTGCCATTCAGCTGGGACTTCAGGACCTGTCTGACTCTCTGGAGGTACTTGGATGTTGTCTTCCTCATGGTTGCCATATGCTTGTGGTAACCCCAGGTACTTTTAGATTTCCTCTACATCTATTATTCAGATTTCTGGTACTTGAACTCCTTCTGTCCTGATCGTCACTTTTCTTGCTGTCACGCTGGCAATCCGGGGAGACTCCATGCCCGGTCAGCATTACAGCATGCCCCCACTTGATCAGCACAGACACACTAGAGCTATAAATTAGCCTCTTGCCTGGTTTTCCTCCAGTCTCCATGCTACACGGCAGAGAATCACGCTGGCATTCACAAAAACGCTGGCCGCTTCCAATTTAAAAGGAACAGCCTCCGTTTTTTACGCTGGTGACGCAGACGTCTCCAGGTCACAGTAACCAACTAGAGCCCTGCCTGGGCTAATTAAACTCCCTCGTCCATTTGTTTGATGCCCTGTCATGTTTCCATTTGTTTAGTTTATCTGAGAGCACGTTATATATTTAGGGTAATTCTGGCATTTTGACCTTGGCTTGTCAACTTTTCTGCTTTCTATTGTCCCTGACCTTTGGCTATTCATTGTTTTATTTTGACTTCTGTATACCTGATCTTGGCTTGTCTTGTACTACTCTATTGGTGTTTAATCCGGCCATTCTAAGGTATGGTAATAGGCTTACTGTCTTTTCATATTTGCTGTCCTTGTCTTTCCTTGACATTACGACAGGACCATTATGGATCCTGCATTTATAAGCCAGTAAATGACTACCCACGAGATCAGAGTATAAGAACTTGATCATAGCATGGATCAGTTTGCTCAGTCACTTCAGACTGTTCTGACCGTCCAGCCTGCAGTGTCTGAGGCATCCTACTATAAAAGCCCTTCTATTAAGTGGACACCTCCTCCTAGGTTTAGTGCTGAACATCTCGAATGTTGAGGATTCTTGAATCAGATTGAGTATCGCTTTGAGGCTTCACCTAGGTCTTTCCTTCTGACCGAACAAAGATTGTTTTTTTTTTTTCATGAACCAGTTGACTGGTAAGGCTTAACTTCGGCTTACCCTTTGTGGGAAAGCGAGAGATCCATAGCTTATAATTAAAAGGAATTTGTCACCGAGTTTAAGCGGTCTTTCAAACCTTTAGGGAAAGAAAAATCCGCTGCTAAGGCTTTGATGCGCATAGAGCAGGGTAATCGTTCAGTATCAGACTATGCCATCGGATTCTGAACTTTAGCTCACAAAGTCGACTGGACTAATAGTGGCTTGGTTACAGCATTCGCAGAGGTACTGTATGACACCTTGTTAGACTAAACCACAGCTAAAGATTTACCAGAGGGGATAAACGAATATATAACTTACATGATGCAAATAGATAACAGGCTCAGAGAAAAAGAAAAGACGAAGAGCAAACCGCAGCGCTTGTTTTTTTGGCTCCTCGTTTTTTCACTCTTTCCCTCTATGCAGCTAGGTGTAACTAAGCTATCGGAGGCTAAGCAGCAATACAGGAGAGGTGAGGGTTTGTGTTATTTAGTGGAAAACTAGGTCATTTACAGTTAACATGCTCTATCCGTCCAGAAAACGTGCTCACCTAAGGACCATTAGGGGTGTTATGCCCGGTCAGCATTACATAGATTCCTGCTTCCTATTTCGCTATCTTGTGGTGTTGCCATTTTTGACACCAAAGCTCTTATAGATTCTGGAGCAGCAGAGAATTTCACAGATGCTTTATATACTCTCCTACATCATGTACCACTAAGAAGCAGAGCAACACTTTTGGCCATTGAGGCCATAGATGGTAGATGTGATGACCACCTAGCCCCCTGACTGGGTACCTCTGTCCATCGCTGCTTCCTAGTAATCTTTGAGCACCATAAGCTCTGTACCGGACACCATAACCACCACAGCTTGGTTGTGGTCTCTGTCCTCCACCCACCCTGGACCAGAATTCAGCTTCCAGTGGGTAAACCTCTCCTAGTCCAGAAAGCAAAGCAGGCCGCTCTTACAACAGCAGTCGTAAGCCAAGGGAGTATAGTGATTATAGCAATCCCCAGAGGGAATATGGCTCTATAAAACCCCCAACCATGAGCCTAGACATCATGATGGGTAAAACAGCTGACCTTAAATGCAAGGGGCACTCCCTCATGGACCTGAGATAAGACTACAGTAAAAACACACAGGATTACATTGGTTCTCAGGTCCAGGACACTCCCATGCAAAATAGGTCAATCCCTGCCCTGTTCATGGGAGATAATTGAGTCAGCATTGTATTAAATTCAATTATCTCCAGGCAAAGAAAACACACTTTTAAAAAAAAAAAACCTCAATACCTTCAAAGCACAAAACCCCCACAAAAGTTACATCCCCTGATAGCCTCGATCTAGGTGACCAACATATTCAAAAATCCCCTTGCTTTCTTTACACAGCCCTCATATTGATTGGATTCAGGGTGAAGTTTTATCTTTGGGTGATGCATACAACCAATCAAACCTATCAATACTATTAATGTACCTACTGCCACACCTTTATCCACAGAAATACCTTCCCAATATATGTCCGTTAACACGCTGCCACCACACAGAACGTATGACTGTGCCATTTATTTATTGCCTGGTAGTGAGCATCCTAGAGGTCATGTGTATCAAATATTAGGGATGTGCATGGGAAAAATGTTCAGTTCGGGACTTCAGAACTTTGGGTAAGTGTAGGGGTAGGGTTAGTTTAGGAGTAGGGTTAGGAGGAGGGTTGGTGTTAGGCGCAGGGTTGGTTAAGAGCAGGGTTAGGGTTAGGCATATTGTTAGGGTTCCCCAACCGCTACCAGACTCCTCTTGGTTTTGCCCATTCTACATCAATCATTGAAGTCATCCCATTGTTCTTAACCCTTTTGTCTTGTGCAACACCCCCACTGTATTCCGAGACCTGATTAATGATGTTTTGAGAAATTACATTCATTTATGTGTCTTGGTATATCTTGACGATGTACTCATCTTCTCTCCCGATCTCCACTCACATCACATTCATGTGAAGACAGTTCTACAGACGTTGTTAAAGAATGGTTTATATTGCAAATTAGAAAAATGCCTCTTTGGCTGAGGTTCATTTCTTGGGTACATAATTTCTTCTGGTTTTACTATGGATCCCCAAAAATTAGAAGCCGTACTCAACTGGCCCTTAACCAAAGTTCTAAAAGCCATTCAACGATTTATGGGTTTTTCCAATTACCACCATAGATTTATTCAAGAGTTTTCAACTGCAATAGCTCCTATCCCGAACCTAACAAAGAAAGGGTCTAATACACAATCCTAGCCTCCTGATAACTTGTCAGCATTTGACAGATTAAAATCCTTGTTTACTGTTTCCCCCCTTTTATGACATCCTGACACCTCCAAACCATTTGTTTTGGAGGTCGATGCATCAGAAATAGGAGTTGGGGATGTTCTTTCTCAAAGAGAATCACCCGTCAAGTTAAGACCACTAGAAACCTGCCTTGTGTGTTATTACAACCTTTGGATATCGCAGACGTAGCTTGGACACATTTAGCACTGGATTTTATCATTGATTTACCTAAATAAAAGGCTCACTACTATTTTGACAGCCATTGATCAATTTTCTAAAATGGTGCATCTAATTCCTCTCCCCAAATTACCATCCTCTTGTGAATTGGCTTATATTTTTACCAAAGAGGTGTTTTGTTTGCATGGGCTTCTTCAAGAGATTGTGTTGGATAGAAGGAGTCAGTTAATTTCTAAGTTGTGGAAGAAGTTTTGCAGTGAGTTTGGTATCAAGATGTCTTATTCTTCTGCCTACCACCCACAGTCTAATGGTGCGGCTGAAAGAGCCAGTCCCTGGAAACTATTTAAGATGTTTTATTTCCCATAACCAAGACAACTGCTCTGATCTCCTTCACACAACTCCACAGAAGGCTCCTCTCGGTTTTGCCCATTCTGCATCATTGACGTCATCCCATTGTTCTTCCTGATTCCTTTTCTAAATGTGGTATGCCTGTGTTAGATCAGCATCTATTTTATCTTCAGAATATCTGGGTTCAGGTTAAAGCCTTTCTGTCCCAAGCAGCTAAACATTATAAGCATTTTGCAGACAGATGCAGGAGTGTTGGTCCTAACTACATAGTGTGTGACAAGGTCTGGCCCTCTACACGTAATCTGTGACTAAAAGTTCAGTCAATGAAATTGGCACCACGGTTTGTGGGTCCCTTCCATGTTTTACACAAGGTTACTCCTGTTTCCTATGCCCTGGAACTGCCACGTACATTGCACATACAATGTTTTTCATGCTGAAACCATTGATATGTCATTGTTACACAACAGCGAATGGTCCTCCCTCTCCTGTTACTGTGGAGGGTAATTCTATTGTTGATTTGCGGTTCTCCCAAGGTTCCTTGCAATATTTGGTTCACTGGAAGGGGTATGGCACAGAGGAGAGGTCCTGGGTTCCCGGTCACACTGCCAATACAGGGAGGCAGCATCCCAGCGTCCAACAGGCTGAAAACTGAGACCCAGCAGGAGGATCCAAACTGTAAGTAAACTTATTTTATGAGTGTGTGTGGGGATGACTGAGTGAGTGTGGGTGAGACAGATTGATAGTGAGTGTGTATGTTTAAAAATATTTACTGTGTGTTTGCATACTTATTTTAAGCTGGAGGGTTGCCTTAGGATGGGGCAGGCATAGACGCTGAGCTGTCAGCCAGCTCACAAACTCGAATAGCGCGCACATGCGCCGTAGAGAGCTCAGTTCTTTCATAGAGCGGCATTGAAACCCGCTCTATGAAGAACCTGATTGGTGCAGCATGAAGGTGTGCATGTGCACCAGAGCACGATGACGATTCTCAAAGAAGTGTCCTATTGGGCCCTGTGATTTTGATGAAAAATGGGGAGTGGGCTGACAAGGAGCTCGGTGCTTGAACGGAGGTACGTTTTAATGATAAAAAGGGCTCAAGTTTTTTATTAGGGACAAGTTCATATAAAAGCAAGAAAGAAGGCTATATACATATACACACACACACACTGAACACACAAACAAGTGTTGCATTTGTAATTTTGTTTAGAGTCTCTCTCTCTCCTTGCCTGGAGTTGTGGGAGAGGATTGTTGATCCTACTTAAGCACTCCCCCTTTTACCTGCATCACAGTGGATTCAGACGTTCGGCAGGTGATCACTTCCGGTTTCGCTACTTACGGGTCACGATCCTGTCACTTAAGGTTCACAACAAGCTGCTGCTTTGCCAAACGCTCAGGGGCGCGAAAAAAATCGTGAGTGTCACATAGTTCTGGTCCCCTCACCTCTGTGCCACATGCTCGTGGTCCGCTCTGGGGGGGGGGGGGAAGGGTGTAATTCACACACACACACAGATGCAGAATTTAGAGACCACCCAAGGTCTCCATTTGCCGGCCGTTTTGTTTACTTCTCCCACGTGGGAGAAGATCCTGTTACTTCAGCTACATGTATAAACAGCTGTGTACACGCTGCAATTACTAGGAATACTACGGTGTTACAATACTGTGTTAAAAAAAAGCACTGGGACCAATTCATGTCAAATATCTACTGAAACTAATTCCCATATTGCAAAACTATTTTAATCTATTAATCAGAGATTACTCGACCTCTATTTGCACAAGCTGGTGGACTTGGGAAATAAATACGGTGGGTCATCCTTTTAGGATTACCACCGGTCATTTTCGGCGAGGGCGTCTGCAATTTTGGCTCAGTATGACGTTAAAACTGACTGGAGCCATATGGATACTGAGCTATTTTGCAGACACTTTGCTGGTCTCAAGACACCAGCTTGTGCAATTTGTGCTTCTACCTCACATGCCTCAGACTATTGTTCCATCATGCCAGAGTCCAAACCTGGGACTTTCCAGGAGACAAAGACTAGGATGGACAGATCAGGCAAGGACAAACTCTGTTGTCATATTGTTACAACCTCGGGAAGTCGTAGGTGTGTAACAACTTTAATATAGGTACATGTGGCTATAGTGCCTGCAGATTGTTACATGTGTGTTCGCATTGTTTAAGGGCTCATGCCAAGTCCAAGTGTCTAATGAAGGTCATGCTAAACTGTATTTGACCTCTGTAAACATTGGTTCTTTGGCTCACGCATTAGCTTCTTACCGATCCAAACATCTAGTGGATTTCTTGATTGATGGCTTCACGGAGGGATTTCACACAGGTCTGGTACATATCCCTGCTGGCACTTACGAATGCAACAATTTGCAATCAGCGTTTTCTGACATGGAAATGGTTGATGCTCTTTTACAAAGAGAATTGGAAGATGGCTTCTTGTTGGGACTTTTTCAGGCACCCCCATTTTCCAGTTGGAGAACCAACTCTATAGGATTAGTCACCGGGAAATCCTCAGGGAGATGCAGACTCATTCTAGACCTATCTGCACCTCACTCCTTGGCCATACCTAGCCTTAATTCTCTAATTCCATCAGAGGAATTTTCCATTCAGTACGCCACCATAGACAAAGCCATACACACCATTATTACAGCTGGTGTAGGGGCTTGGCTGAATAAGAGACATCAATGCATTTAAATTACTACCCATACGCCTGTCACTATGGCATCTGCATGGTCTGAAATGGAAAGGTTTCTATTATTTTTTCACAAGGCTCACGTTTATTTTATACCTTTGTCGAAACCTTATATTGGTTCCTGTTGAACAATTGCAGATGCCATGCGGTAACATTATCTAGATGACTTTCTGTTCGTGGAGAATAATTCCTGTCCTCCTCCTGATCTAACTATGGCCATCTCGTTTTTTCATTCCTTGGGGGTGCCAGTTTCTACCAAGAAAACAGAAAGCCCTGACACGTGTTGTGGATCCAAATAATGATCTTTGTTATATTCAGAGGAAGCCCAAATTATTATCACAAGTGCACTTGGAGAAGCAAAAATAAGACACCAGACACCTGTTGGTATTCAAAATAAGCCTCTGCCGTTTTATTCATCAGCTGGGTTTTATATATTAAAAAGTAAGTTCTCAAAGAACAGTAATAGGAAGGGAGTACAGATAAGACATAGGGATGAACGTCATGGACACACAAGTTCCAAGGTAAGAAAGAACAAAAAGATGAGAAGATACATCTCAGGTGGGGGCTCTCTGCTCCCGGAACTAGACATATATGGTCTTAAGCGTTGTGTTAAGCATCAAGCATTTCCTTTCCTGAGTCCAAGTTAGCCAATTTTAATATAGGATATCATTATATGACACCTATAAGCTTGAGCCTTGGAATCAAGATAAATTCTATCACACACAGTTAATTTCTTGGGTATCCTGCTCAATTCAGTCAGCATAGAAGCGAGCCTCCCCTCAGGCAATATTGATGGTATCCTACAAACCTTAAATGACTTTCTGCATAATAGGACATGCAATCGAAAGGAATTGCAATCTTTGTTGGGCTCACTAAATTTTGCAATACCTATCATTCCGCAATGTATAGCCTTTATTTCTAGACTCCTTTGCCTCCTTCCTCTATTGCCAAATGGATTCCCAGGCTACTGCGGATTTATGAATGTGGCGCAAATTTCTTGTTGCAATGGAATGGCAGAAGTATGTTTTTACCACAATTGTCTATCCATTCTCCTGTCATTTGGATGGATGCTGCAGCATCAACAGGTTTTGCTGCCATATTTGGCAATGAGTGGCTCTGGGATGGTTGGCCAGAGGTACAGCACATCGAAGGGGTCTCACGCACCTCAGCCTTATTCGAGGTATACCCTATAGTTACAGCAGCCATGGTATGGGGTCAGTCTTTGGTAGGTAGCTCTGTACGCTGTTTTTCCTACAACCTAGCTTCATCATAAACAAGGGTCGTTCCTCATCTCTGACGATCATGAGAAGACTGACCTGGCTGCCTGTAATCAGTTTTATTTGGTGTGTTGTCATGTACCAGGGATCTATAATACTGCGGCTGACAAATTGTCTCACTTTGAATTCCAGGCCTTCAGAGACATTAACCACGGCCTCTCCAACAGTCAATGCAGCACCGTGTTTTCAGGATCTTGTAATGGAGTAAAAGAATTGGCAAGGCATAGTCTCACCTTGGCTAGTTTAGCCCTATCTGGAAACACTAAACTGTCCTACAATAGAGCCTTCAAACTGTATAAGATTTACATTAGAACATAACTTGGTTCAGTTTACCATTTCAACGTTGTGTGATCCTTGTTTGCAGATAGCACGGTCCTCTAGGGTAAACAGGCACAGTCCTTTTATTTTCATATACTCCAGGCACTTTATTTGTAAGTCCACACAGGAGACAGCAGCAAATGAAAACATAAATATAACAAATCCCTATAAACAAAAACCTAGCTCGTCTGAGCACTTGCTAACATCAGGTTCCCGATCTCTCAAGGGTTTAAACTATAACAGAATAATAATTGGTTTCACCAACCTAGTGCCTTTGTCAGATCTCTGCACTCAACACTCAGTAAGCATGTGGCTTCCATTCCTTTTAAGAAAGAAACAATTCTCTCCCACTGCTCAGTCTCCTTGACTCTCACAGGAGAGAACAGCGTCTCTCCTTCCTGCGAGGAAGCCAGCAATCCCCCTTTACCTGCCTAGTAGGGAGGGGTTTATTCCCACTGCTGCAGCTGATTATCTGCAGCTGAGCAGTGGGTTGGAGACAAAACTCTGACCTGGAACTTATTTCTCCCAGTTGTATGCAAACTGCAGAGTCGAGCATTGGCCCACCCTGCTCTCCAATTGCTCCACCCCAGGGTCCCATTACTAAACTTTGATTTGTGTTGCCTACAACACATACTACACATACTCCCCCCTGGAGTTAAATGTTATAGGGCTAGCTGCCTTCACTTTATCACAGCTGGTAGCTTTTGCATCCTTTTGTCATCTCAAACTCAAAGACCATTTAATCGGAATCCAACACCACATGTATACCTTATACCCAGATTTTTATTTTATTTTTATTTTTTTTTAGCATCTTACCCCATTTAAAACATACGAAAAAGGCATACAGAAAACCAGTACCACTCCTCCAACCACAAGATTACCAATGCACAGACCGTTATTTAAGGACATGTCTGACTTATTGGATACTGCCCCGTTTGAACACACCACAAATCTGGTAATCAAAACAGCGATTTATTTGGCTTATTACGCTTTTCTTAGACCTTGCAAATTTAGCATACATGGTAACAAATACGCACGAGACTGCCTCAAACGTTCCTATCTCATTAAATGACAAGATCACTATATCTTGTCCCTACCCGTTACTAAAACAAGTCAGCTGGGTAAAGTAGTGCATATCACATATTATCCTACTTCAAACAAGTGGTGCCCGGTAAATGTACTGAATACATGTCTCCAATCATTACCACCTTAGTCTGACATCCCGCTGCTAGTCCTCCACAAAGCTGCCTTAACAGCAAAATTCATGCAGTACGTACGCATATTACTGACCAGACTAGGTCTGAACGCTAGCAATTTTTCTGGCCATTCTTTTCGGATAGGGGCAGCCTCCATAGCCTCTAGTCCCGATATTCCAGTACACGTAATTAAGTCTTTAGGCTGCTGGAAGTCATCAGCCTTTGCTTTGTGTATACCTCAACCGGTGTTAGAAATTAGGTCTGCCTTTGTTAAATTGTCATCTTGAGGTATTTTCTTTGCACTATGTTTCATCTATGCAATAAATATTTCTTTGGTAAGACACTGCTAATTTTTACCCTCTTTATTACAGGCCACCGCATATGTCGGTTTTGGCACACTTCAATTGACTTGTTCATATCTATAATTTACACCATGCTATACATACATTTACGTTACAAGAATAGCACCGTACACAAAAAAAATTACATACATACACACACACACATGATCTTGGTTTATATTTATTCATTCATAAAAGGTAATTTTGATTTTAGTTTATTAGTTATAAGTGATAAGCACTTTAATAATACCCACTTATGTCATTTAACCAATCTTGGAGTAAGGACTCATCTCACTGCTCGATCTGATGTGAGTATAAGTGTAACACATTTGGAATGCACACACCATCACTTCCACATGAGTGGAAGGTGACTTATAAGCACACGAACTCCAGCACCCGGAATGAAATGGAACACATACTTGGAACACATGATTTAGCGCATGCTGCACAATGTAGGAAAGCCAATGAAAGCATGGATAGATTAATTAAGAGGGGTTTATAAGAATATGGTGGGCAGGGAGGTTTATATTCATGCTTAACTTGTACTATCTGCAGAATTGTCCCTAATGTGGGATTGCGATTACCAACTAATGAGTAAGTGAATAAAATGGTATTTTGCCCTTTATCTTGCTCATGTTTTATCTGGTTGCACCTCACAGATTTTCAACTCAATGTGGACAATATAAATGAAATAAACACTCCTGAAACAAGCACTACTCAATGCAATCTTTTGACTTACAGATTGTGAGTGACCAATTGATAAAACCTATATTGTCTATGTTTTATCATTTTTAACTTCCTTAGCAGGATCACCCCGTATTGAGTATTTATTTATGTTGAAGATTTGAGGACATCTTCAGGGTGGAATCTTTGGAAAGAGGGAAGCTAATTGTAAAAGTCACTTTTTTGTATAAATAGACCCCTAGCATCCCCTGGACACTTATACTTCTGCCAAGAGTGTTGGGCCCTAAAATATGATATCCATCTATGTGGCCTTTGCCACTGTGATTATAGCAACTAAGTTCTTTAATTCCTTTCACCTCTGCACCACTTTTCCAGATTAGGAGAGGTTAAGGCGGTTGGTTGTGCCACCTAATGGTAGTGTCAGCCCTGCATAAAAGTAAAATGTGTATGCCTTTTGGGTAGAAATCCTGTCAGGATGTAAGAGGAGAAATATTGTAGTTGTAGGAGTATCTTAGAAACCCCCAAAATTTGACTATTCCAGAAAACCAGCTGTTAGAGCAAATTGAAAAGGTATACATTGGAATGAAAACCATAATCCCTGGCTATTATTACTATCTAGACATTGACATGGGATAGTAGAATTTACACCTTCATTTCTCAATTAGTAGAAGCACCATCTATCATGGTTACTTATATGGATCTGGTAACGACTAATGATGACTTTTGGGGATCAATTGTGAATAGTTTATAATATAGTATATAATATGGTATCTGTTTTAAATTTGTAAAAGCAAGTTTAAGAGGAGTTAAATAAAAAGTTTACAAAGGTAAACAAATTCAGAGAGCTTTGCACATTCACGATTATTAATTATAGAATGCTAATATATTCCACATAGCTTTATCTTATATCCATTATATTATAGACTAACAGAAAGGTACTGTTATGGTACAAAGGGAATTGTTGAAAAATGTGATGTTCTGTGGAATCTCTTACAACAACCTGGCACTTTGTGAATATGACTTTCACCTTCATGTCTTTTTATCCCAAATGTTCTCCCCTCTGGTTTTTCATCTCTAAATTGCCTCAATAGCCCCATGTCTCCCCACCCATAATAGTGTTTGATTTCTTTTTTCTTTCTAACCTCAGACCTTATATTTCAGACTGGACCCCTTAAAGCCGTATTAACATCCAGCACTCCCAAGCAACCAAGTCCTGCAGAATGTACAAGTAATATTACTTCTAGATATGGTAGTATAATATGGCAAAAAAAAAAATAATTAAGGAAGAAATGATACCAATGGCACCAATTACTCCTATTTTTAAATGCTTATTAAAGTGTCATAAGAAAAGGTAACAAATAGAACAGTTTCCACAACTCTAGTCTGCCCAACCTCATTTCATAGCAGAACCAAAGCTTAACCTTTTTCCTGACGGAGGCCGTACTGCATCGAATATGGAAATTCTGTATTTTATTTCAGTTCTTGTGTTTGCAATATATTTAAGATTCTGTTTAGACTTATTAAATTTAAAAATGTAGATTTTAGGGAGATTCTATACAGTTTCTTGGACTTAATTTCTTTGAATTTACCACATCAGAATTATAATATCTCTAATTGAAATAAAATTAGCACAAGAAACAGTCACACCAATATTCAGTTTATAAAAAGAATAAAAATAAACTGCCGTTTATTGAACAACAAAATCTGTTAATATGGGCGATGCCAAAACATAATACAATGGGTTGGGGGTAATTTGAATTCAATGGGTTACACAATTGAATTCAGCTTAATATTCCAAATTAACCAGCTAACTCAGTTGTAATGCAAATACATTTAGAAAAAAATGTGCATTCAATTTCGTGTCACACCCATCCCTTTAGTCAATTAAGTTGCAGAAAAGAATTATTGCATATTCAAATAGTTACTATTGTATTTTAGTATATATCTGCATTTTTTGTCATGTCTAAAGACATATTTGAGGTTTCAGTAATCACTATACCGAGCATTGTGGACCCCACTTTTGATATACAGTATATATATAATTTAGTAAAACATGTTTTCTGTTCTCCCCAAAGTTTATTAAATTGTCAGGAATGTCACAAACTCTTAATTTATGAGGTATTTAATAAAAAAAAATATTCCTACATAAAGTAGGCCAGTAATATGTCCACCTTTAAAATATTAGAATTAATCTGTTATCAGGACTCGTTCCCACTCATTCCTGCAGGACTCGACGTTCCTGCACTTTTCCCTCAGCAGGAACGCCGTTCCCGTTACTAGTCCTGCAGGACCTGCCCTTTGCGTAGCAAGTCTCTCTGATGCTCAGATGGTTAAAATATCCTTTGGAGGCAGATATTTCTGTAACATGTAAGTCACACCATGGTTACAAATAACTTCAATACAGAGCTTGGCAGCATTAAATACAATGCATCTTCACCGGTATTAAAGTTGGAGTTTGGAATGTGCAGTTACTGTATGTGATACACTGTGTATCAGTACAGTGAACTTTCAGAATGGTGAATCCACTGATTGATAAGACATTCCAACTCCGATACTATACTGAAACTGCACAGACACCCCCACTCTTACCTATAGGAGTGTTTGGCTGACCTGCAAAGATGAAGAGACAGTTTCCACTTACTTGAGCCAAGCAGATGCTAGCAATACTTAAGGCTAGGACCAGAAGAGGGGGCACCCACTCTGGACAGTCTGAGCCATAGTACAACCTATGGCTAGGCAAAAAGGCTGAGTATCCTTCCCTCTGCCCGATTATGGGACCCACAAGAAAATCCCCCAAATGAATCAGTTAACACTAGCTGCAAGGTAAGCCCTGGAGAAAGTCTCAAATCCTTATGTTTATTAATAACCTGGGAGGAGGGCAGTGATGTTTGGAGGATGCTTGGACTATGGGATGGGAGGAAAGAGTGCTACAGGTCTTTTAACCCTTCAGGTGGAGTCTCCAATGCAACATGTGGTGTCAAACTCAGCTTTTACATACACAACCCTGGCTTAAGCAATGGGTTACTAAACCTTAACCCCACTCTAATAGGTAGCAGATTATAATTTTTACTGCAACATTCCCACGCAGACACCATCATGACTTTTTTTATTATCAATAACTTGATGAGATCATCAGGGGTCCTGGTCAAATATCCACATCATTTGCATACTATGATATAAATATGACTGCATTTATTTTATTATTGTGTTGGGCTGTGAAGGGCATTAATGTTCAACATCTGGCTCTTTAATGGATACATTTAATTTGAATGAGCCTTGAACTTGTAAACATGCAATAATTAGTGTAATAGGCACACCACCAGCAGTCTGACCTCAGTGCAAAGCGACATGTAAGATAGAAAATAAAGGTGCAAGTGGTGTAATCAACCTACCACTTTAAACATTAAAACTTCATAAATATAAGAAGATTGAGCATATAAAAAATTACATAACCGTGGGCAATAATTATTCTGAAAATAGCTTACAAGTATATGCTATATATATCATGGTATGAAGCCAATACAATTAACAGTTAGAATTACAGCAAAATAATTTTAGTAGAAACATGTACTGGATAATTTCAGAAATACATTCCACTAAAGTACATTCCACTTTTACCCAGAGGCCTAAGACTATCAAAAAATCCTGCAAATGGATTAGCTAATTCCCGCTATGCTGATAGATGGGACGTAGCTCTGGAAACATGTGCAACAACTCTAATGGAGATTATTGTTGATTTTGAGAAAGAATCTAAAAGATGTAACACAAGAACTAGAGAACGATAATAAATTTGATAAATAGGAGTTTAGAATTTATAGGAAAGGAGAAGATTGTATATGATAGAGTCCAAAAAATGGACGAAAAAATAGCAGAAACAAAAAATGGAAAATATAAAAGATAAAAGGGAAAAAGAAAATCGCTTTTTCTCCATTAAAAACAAGACTGGAAATTGAGAATTTAAGGACAGGCGCAGCTTTCAAAATGATAGTGTTGATTATAGACAGAGAAAATCTAATTTCAAAGCTAATTTTAATTCTAACTATAGCCGTGATTCCATTTCTTTTAGAAGGAGTAACGAGCAAATTAGACCCCATTCACCAAGGACCAGATTTAGCAATAGGTCAGTCTCTAATGTCCCACCTAAAGAGAAATCTAATACTCAGAATCCAAACAGGAGAGAAAAATCGCCTTCCCCTCATACATACAATAGTAGGGATTTTTTAGAGTAGGGGCAAAACCTAAGAACCAAGAAAAAAAGAAGTCACCCAATATTTTTCACCCAGAGCCCCAAGGATAGACCTGACCAACCGCTTTGCTCCTCTCAGAGAACGAAATACTCCATCCAAAAAGAGGAGACTAAGTTTGGAGAGAGAGGACTCCAATTAAATCCACATAAAGAAGAGGAATTATTGGGTATTTTTAATATATCTAATGCACACCTCACTAGAGAGGAATGCCTTATTTTAAAAAAGGGTTTGAAATACACCCCTAATGTCCCTCCTGATTCTTTAAAAAAAAAAAAATATATATATATATATACATACACATATATACACACACACACTGAAATTTTTTAGAAAGTTAAGTCTCAAAAGGTTCTTCATCAAAAAAACATTGGAAGAACCCTTAAGAGGAGAATCTGAGTATATATGTGACCAGGGTTCTTTTAAGAAATTCAAACCCCGGTCAACATTTTGCCCCTATGAAAAAGGTGGACAAATAGAAACTTTTTCCAAAATGGTGATGTCAGATCTCGACAAATTAACCAATAAGAAAGAATACTGTAATATGTCTAAACATGAAATGCAAATTCTTAATGTTCTAAAGAGGAGAGATGACAGTGATAAAAAATGCTGACAAGGGGGGAGGCATCGTTGTTATGACTGTGGAATTTTATTTGGGAGAATCATATAGACTATTGGGGGATGAGAAAACATACATTAAACTCTCCAAAAACCCCAATGAGACGTTTAAATCCCAATTAAAGATCTTATTAGAAAAGGCAGTCCAACAAGAAGTGATAGACATCGGGATTTTTGGGTTTCTCTATCAGGAGAACCCTAGAATTCCGACCTTTTACTTCTTACCCAAAATACACAAATGCACAGTGAACCCACCAGGCAGACCTATCATTAGTGGCATTAATTCATTAACATCGAATCTTTCTCAGTTTATTGATTATTCACTACAAAGATACGCCCAATCGGCCCAATCCTATTTGAAAGACACTAAACATCTTTTGCAGGAGTTAGAGTTGATTGAATGGCATGAGGATTATATGTGGGCATCTTTAGACAGAGCTCATTATATACAGTGATTGACCACCAATTTGGCCTACAAGCAGTTAAAGATAACCTAGATAGAGACACGTCTTTAGATCCAGCATTTGCAGGGTTTCTTTTAGAAGCCATTGAATTTATACTTACCCACAACTTCTTCATGTTCAATGATGAATACTTCCTGCAAATCAAGGGAACAACCATGGGCACCAGGTTTGCCCCAAGTTATGCCAATATTTTTATGGACTTTTGGGAGGGTAGGTCCATTTGGGATAACAATCCATATGGGGCAGGCCTGGTGCTCTGGCATCATTATATAGACGACATCCTTGTCATATGGAAGGGGTCTGAACAACAACTACGTGATTTCTTTCGATACCTCAATGATAATGCCCTCTCTTTGATTTTCAGTCCAGTAGTTAGTTCCACTTTTAATGACTTTTTGGACCTGACCATCTTCAGAGGATTCTCAGATTCTTACTAAAACTTATTTCAAGCCTACTGACACCAACAGCTTTATTGTATCAAAAAGTGGACATCATCCGAGATGGTTAGCAGGGGTTCCTAAGAGCCAATATACTTGGCTCAGACGGAATTGTTCCAGTAAAAACACCTTTATAGAACAAGCCGAAATTCTAACCACCAAATTTGTAGAGAAGGGATATGAGAGAGGACAACTGGATAGAGAGGTTAAAAGAATTGGAGATATCGAAAGAGGTGATCTTTTGTTGAATAAAGTAAAACCAACCAATAACTCAGATAGATCCTTTGAATTTGCATTCAACACAATACAACTAAAACTTTTGCCATTAATAAAATGAAGACATAGGAGCACAACTCCCACAATATCCCAACATTATTTATAGAAAAGGAAAGAACCTTTCGAGTTTTCTTGCCCCAAGTCTCTTTCAGAAGACTAAACCCTATTATTCCAAGGGGTTTCATACTTGCGGAATGTGTAAAGCATGTAGAGGTCAGCCTTCACATACATATTCCTTTTCTAGTTTTGTTACAAAGGAGGAATTTAAGATCCAGGGACACGTTACATGTTCCACACATGATGTATATCTCCTCACATGTGGATGTGGAGTGCAATATGTTGGGAGAACAGTGAGGAAGGCCAAGGTACGCTTCCTGGAACATAAGAACAATATACGGAACAAGTTGCTCAACCATTCTGTTCCAGTACACTGTAACCGTTGTCCACTCTTTGATACACATGTATTTTCCTGGGTGATTATTGAGCAGATATCACTTGGTGTGAGGGGAGGTGATATTGTTATGAGACTTAGACAGAAGGAGGGTTTTTGGATACACAAGCTTAAAACTCTTCAACCATTAGGGATGAATGTAGATTTTGATTTAAATATGTTTTCTTTAATTTATTAATTTGATTTTTTTTATTATTTCATTTTTATTTATTTATTTTATTTTTTTTAATTTTTTATTTTATTTTTATTATTATTTCATTTATTTTTATATTTATTTATTTTTATTTTCTCTTTTCTTTTTATTTTTTTATTATTTTATTTTATTTTTATTATTTCATTTATTTGTATTTATTTATTTATTTAATTTATTTATTTATTTATTTTCCTTATATCCCTATTTGGGATTATAGCTTGTGATTCCATCAATTTCTCTCCCTCTGTTAATAGCACTCAATGTATATTGATTTATGTGTGTTGACAAGCACTCAATGTGTATATCTAATTTATATCTGATGGATTTCATATGAAGTGTTTGGGTGCACTTTCACCTGATTATTGATGCTTGTAGCATCCTCTCAGTATTTTCTTTTTGTTTCCGAGATCGCTTGAAGTGGAACGCATATGCGTTCCACACGCTGATTGATGATGTCATCGCGGACCACCGGCCGGTGGAGCGCATATGCGTTCCACGAAAAAATGGAAGTCCTTATTTGGTAACGAACAGACGAGGCAACCAAGAACAGGTGATTCCGACATCCCTGATTGGGGGAACAAATGATAAGAAGACCCTTAAAAGGAACTCTGGACTTTGATATAATGTGATGCTTCATTTTTTGTTATTGTATTATATTTTATTGTATTTTATTCCATTTGCTCCTGAGGAAGTTTCCATTTGGGAGACAAAACGCGTTGAGCCACACACCAAGGCTTATTTTGGGTCTCTCATCCAGCTGAAATCGACTGATAGAGACTTATTGATGAGGTTTTTAATCTTCCACTTTTTGTAAGTGCATTCAATTAAAGTGTCATTTAATATTTAAGCATTATTATACTATGTCCAGTTCTTTCCTTTTAATATGTACCCTGGGATTCTGAGGACATTGGTGGCTGAATATTGAAAGACATTCCGATGGGCTTTTAACATTACAACATCTTGTGAGTGCAATATTTACTTAAAGGGGCCACATCTTTGATTTTATAGTGTTGCCCTATGAATCTCTGTCCTGATTTTTTTTTTTTAGGTGTATCTTATATTTTATATTTGCATTTTGAGGACCTTTGAGGAACCCTCTTGTTACTACCTGACTTACAAGGGAAGTGATTACCTTTATTGAATCTCTCTCTCTCTAGCTATAGTTGATAAAGTGAAACTGACAAAAGTTTTGAAGCCAAAATTTTGGAAAGAGACAGCACAGGACATCAAACAATGGCCTAGCTAGTAAAATGTAAAAGATATTTGCAGACCTTGTTATTTGCAGGTTTCATATTTATTGCTGTATTAACTACACACTGATAGTTCTACTTTATCTTATCAATGATCAGATTGGATTATCATGTACTTGTGTGCAAATGTCATAATACAGATTGATGATTTTCTTTTAATTAAAATGTATGGTGTGCAGTGATTTTTCTACATTTAATTACTTGTGAACATGCCACCTCGTGTGTTCTCAGCTATACTATCAACTATTTTACCCTTAACATAATCCCATTTAATATAAGGCATTTATAATAGAATAAAATTCTGCCTAAGCCACTGCCAGTACTGCTACATACAGTACATATACATATATTGGATCCTCTCCACTTCTCCTGATAGAATCCAGGAGGAGGTTGTTCTCCCAAACACGTTCAGTGATCACTGTTTAGTGTACTGCGTGTGCAAAATAAAGGCTATTAAATCCTCGAAGGTTAAAATAACTAGGTCCTTCAAAAAATGTAATCTTGAATCCTTTCTAAATGACATCAAGAATCTCTCATGGCACAGATTAAACATTATCCCAGATCTAGACTGTGCTGTTGAATACTTTCAGTCTGAACTCCTTCAAATTTGGAATTTGCATGCCCCGCTGCGTAAGGTGAGGGTAAAAGGAGCACATATGAACTGGATCACAGCTGACCTCATCCAAATGTACCAGTTTCGGGATTCTTTGTGGTCAAAGTTTAAGCGTACTGGCTCTATGAATGATCACGGTGCATATAGACAATGGCGAAATATATGCACAAAACAGACAAAACTGGCCAAGGCCCAATATTTCTATGAAAATCTGAAGAGTAACATCTCAAACCCTAGAAACTTTTGGAAAGTCAAACTACAAACTCCCCCAATCCACTCCCAACCCTCCACTGTCAAAGTGGGTAACCAAACCCTGCAACTTCCCTTAGATGTAGCAAATGCCTTTAACAATGATTTTGTCGGATGCTCTACTGCCCTGATTGCCAAGCTAATAAGTGACACGCATCCTGAAAGTACAAATGTGGATCAGGTCACACTAAATTTGCAAAGGCCCAATAGAGACAAGTTTATTTTTAGACCTGTACCTGTTAGTGTCATTAAAAACATCTTAATCTAAAAATGAAAAACCAGTCCGGACCTGATCAAATCCCAGCAATGCTGTTGAAGCTCAGTGCGCCGGCATTTGCTAAACCCGTCTCAACTCTAACGAATCCTTGGTGTCTGGATACATACCCAAACTTTGGAAGACTGCGAGAGTAGTGCCTATTCATAAAAGTGGTGACACTACTTTGGTTTCTAACTATCGCCCAATATCATTGCTCCCGGTATTGTCAAAAATCTTAGAAAAATGTGTCCATATGCAACTTTGTTAGTACTACCAACAATTAAACTATCTGACTCCTGATCAATCTGGCTTTCGACAGAATCACTCCACTACAACTGCTCTCCTAGAAGGTTGCAATGACATCCAAACTGGCATGGAACAAGGAGCCCTAACTGGAGCTATTTTCTTTGATTTTGCTAAGGCCTTTGACACAGACCACGACATTCTACTGCACAAACTCAAAAACTCAGGTATTGGTGATCATTCTCTAAACTGGTTTCGATCGTATCTATCGGATCGCTCGCAATATGTGTCCATTTCTGACAGTGACTCCCTCCCTCTCCCAGTCACGTGTGGTGCTCCCCAGGGTTCCCTTCTCGGCCCCCTATTTTCATTATTTATAAATGATCTGCCTAATGTCTGCCAATCCTCAAATGTACACATGTACGCAGATGACACGGTAATCTATGCAAGCAAATCCAATCTACCGCAACTTGAGGCTGTGCTCCAAGACCAGTTTACAGAGGTAGAAAAGTGGATCGCAAAAAACAAACTTCCTGAACACTGACAAAAATGTCACAATGATCTTTGGAACAGTACCTAAATTACACAAATTACACAATTCCCACCTATCCATCAAAACAAATTCAAATAGCACACTGACCGCAGTCCACTCTTTCAAATACTTGGGTATGATGTTAGGCCCCAATCTATCTTTTGGCCTCCACATAGAAAAGCTTGCATCTAAACTTTATCCAAAATTAGCTGCTCTGTACAGAAACAAATCCTGTCTAAGCCCTACAGTAAAGGAAAAGATTGTACAGCAAATGCTGATGCCAATCATTGATTATGGGGATGTAGTATATGCATCTGCATCGCAATCCCACATTAATAAACTCACATTGTATAACTCGTTCTGCCGATTTGTGCTTTAACTCCTCTGAAGTAGAAAATTGAGCAGTTAGACTGCAGGGGCATGATCTATATACCTAAACTACTCCATGAAGCTAAAGTTGTTTTGGCGCTTGTAGTGTCTTTCAGTATATTGCATATGTATAAGCCTATATTTTTTTGGGGGGAGGGGGGGAGGAGGATGGGTGGACCTTGGGTGAGTTCCCAAACTTTTTTCCCCAGGACTTGAACCCTGTCTGTTATAATGATATATAATCTATGTTTTTCTGTTACCCAGTCTCCATACGTCAGATATAGTGTATCCATCCATGCTTTTTTAAGTTTCACTGACTTATAATGACAGCATTATAGAAATGCTGGGCACAGTGAAAGAGGGTTCAAATAGCAATGTTACCATGGGGACCAGGACAAGTTGCCAAAGATTGAAAGAGCGTGGAATGCAGATAAGCTGGGGAGAAGATTTAAGAAATTTCCATAGAAAGAATTCTAGAAGTCATCATGCCCAATCTCCAATTTTGGATTTCCTTTCTATTTACACAAGATCCACTCAATTTTAAAAAGGAAAAATTGCCATTAATGGGACAAATGTTAGTGTAGCTGGGTGCATGATAACCATCATTCTTAGTGTAGTAGTACTATAAGACAGGAATAGCCTTTGGTTAACTCTGTATATAGATAAAAACTGTGGGAATCAAACAAATCTTCATAATAAAATGTATCTTTCATCACCTCCTAAAGTATTATTTCCAAATTATGTTTGATGTGAATATTTGCTCAAAAGGAAACAAAAATTGAAAAAAAAAAAAAAAAGTTCTCAACTAATTGTAAGTTATGCAGCATGAATGCACACCCTCCATAATAATTTTGTGAGTTTTTATGAGAAGTCATACTCACCCACCCCACCCAACACCCCCATCCTGATAATCTCTGGAATATACACACTATAGGGTTCATGCAAGATAGATTAGGAGCTTCAAAAATGAATATAACGTGGGGTAAAAAAAAAAAAAAATACCAACATGTTAAGAAGTATTGGATAGTTTTAAGTCAACAACACAATATATGAGATTTATAGCAGGTTACAGCTGGTAGAATAGTAGGGTTTAATATTTAGGCAGGTTATAGAATAAAAGGTTATTTTAAAGCTAGTTTGTCTTTACCAAATAGTAAATACTTATTGGGGTTATATTTTTAAATATATATTTAACTTTATCTTTATCAGAAAAATAAGTTTGGTGGGATAACAAAAAAATAGCATATGTTTGATGCAGACTTGGTGACTTTTGGTTAATAAGGTAAGGTTTGTTTAGTGATTTACACAATATATTGCATTGTTAAGGACAATCAATTTGAGGTCAAATGTATATATTGAGAAACTATAGACCAATTTCTAATCATAAAATCTAATAGCAGTAAAACAATAATATTGCAGTACTCCAGTTTAATAAATAATGCATCTTTCAACCTCCACAGTGATCATGTGCAACTTTGCCCATAAAAAAAAAAAGAAAAAAACTATTGATGAATGAGGTCTCAGAAAGATAGAGATGCTGGATTTTAAGTTAAAACCTAACCTTTAAGCTTGCTACACACACTCATGATAAATAATTTTTTTTACATTGAATATTATGATTTTCCCCACTCCTAGACTTTCATTTAAGTTTCCCTCCACAAGGTTTATGCTATGTTTACATTACCTTTTTAAGCAAAGAAATGTGTAATTATAATGCTAATAATGCTAACAGAACAGATACTGCAGTGTCTGTTTCTAATTAACATATTACATATAATCTCTTTTCTCCACCCACTGCTTGAACACTGACCAATAGAAATCTTCACACCTATTAACATGACAAAGGCTATTGGTGGGATACTCAATTTGCATTTAATTAAGGGGGGGGGTTTATGGTTTAGTCAGGGCAGTTCTCCTATAAAAGACCATTAGCAGGCTTACAGCTTTCAGAATTTGACTCCTTGTTGATTTAGCAGGAACCTCTTGAAGACATTGGACTGTAGGAGACAATTTCCACGTGTCGAACTTTTGAAAGATCGCTTTTTCAATATTCCAAAGTGATATCTCAATCCAGAGTTGATAGTAATATTGTAAAGGTAAGATCTACACTTCCTTATAACCTGATACAGGATGTTTGAATGGAGTGTGATTATTTTGTTTTTTTTAACACATCATGGTGACATAGATAAGTTGCAAAGAGTAGGTTAAAATAGTAGAGATGGAAACGGTCTACAGCTCCTCTAGTTTGATATTTGGTTATTTTGCTATACAACAAAATTTGTTTAAAGAAACTAAAACGTTCTATTTCAGTATTCGGTTAAACAATTAGATGTTCAGGAAATAAAATGTACATGATAATTATTCCTGTTGGATGAATAACATTTGGTTCTCCGTGTATGTTGGACTGAATGTCACAAGTCTCAATCCCGCTATAGGTTGACTGTGAGTTGTATTACACAGTAGGTGGAGAGAAATGTTTTAATGTGTAGCTTGGTTTTTAAAACTGGTTCTGTCCTTTAATTCATAGCATATAATTAATTTGGGGTTCGTCAGGACACTCTGGATCTGGAATATGAAGGTGATTTCTGTACGTTGGCTCAAAATCTGATTTGGTTAAAACAAATCAATCTATTAAATACCGTTTGATTAATTATACACTATAAATATACAATTTGGATTATTAAAAAAATAATCTATAAAGTGCTACCTACTTTTACATTTAAGGTCTTGATTATGTTATACACAGTCCATCTGTTATACAGTCTCTCCAATTGTATTAAAAATTCCTCAGGTCTATTAACACACCCTATAAATGCATTTTGCTGTCTTTTTACCACTTTCTGGAGGAAGATCTCTCCCTGGATCCATTCTGAAGAACTGGTCTTGTCCTCTTCCAAAAACTACTAGAGATATACTGTACCATGCTTTCATTATTTATTTTGGGTTTGCGAAGTTAAACTTAACGTTGGCAGGAGAAAAGGAGTGGGAGAGAATTGTTCTTCATGGAATAGGCTGATTTTTCTTGTAGTTTAGGTTTACCCACTTCATAGCTTTAGATTGCAATGTTTTAAAAAGTTTACAAATCTATTCTGATTCAGAACAGCAAAACTATAATTTTGGTAAATGTACAGAGGATGCTAACAAACATGGGATATTAACATTCACTGACAGTTTGTTAAACATGTTATAGCAAAGCATTGGTTAAATATTAGCATCATTCGTAATGAAGATTTATCTTTACATATAATAGATTATAAAAAAGCAGTTTTTAAAACTAATGTTTTGCACCCTCAGGTCTACGCTTCAGATCTGAGTAAAGAACCTGCCTTCCAGCTCATTGCAATGGAAAATACATCCAAAAACCAAGAGATCCAGATGATTCCAGAGCAGTACCAGGTTCTTGAAAAACTTGGAGAAGGGACCTTTGGTCAAGTTTTACTGGCTCATGACAAGCTAGCAGGTACAGACAGTTTGAATATCCCCAAAGACTTTGTTGAGACACGTGTGTATCTAATAACGCAGTATCTAGAATAGTTAATGGCTATAACAACCTGTAATTCAAACAGAAATTTCAACCTAGTAGCCAAAAAAAAGTTAGTTATTTTCTTTGTCTTTATTTACATTGTATATCCTGCTGCACTGGCACAGCTAAAATAGGCAAATTAAATTAATTTCCAAGTGTCGCATGCACGCATGAGGCACCTGGAAATAAATACTGGAGCACAAAGAGAACGGTCTTAATAGTATTAAACAGCCTCATGCTACTCCTGACACAATGTTTCTATAGTTGATTGTATTCATGAAAATGGTTTTAACAACAGTCTTGATAATTTTTACGAGGTCGATCAGTGGCGCTAAAACTGATGAAGAAAGAGAAAACCCACTAAGATGCCTTTGTCAAGGAATTCAAGGTTGCGGTCTATCTTTCTCATCACAAGGGTATCATTACTACCTACCCCTACTTCTTTGATAACCTGCACAACTACATCTATGTCCAGGAGGTGGCAACAGCAGGGACCCTTGAATCCATTATTGTTGAGAAGGTAAGAAAAAGAAGCTAAACAATTGCTTTGGAATAATCTCAGTGGTATTTTTCAGCAGATTAGTAACAATGCATGGTCTTGTTAGAGTTTCTATGCTAATTTAGGCATGGGCAACTTAATATCCTATGTACTATAACAAAATCTGGCAGAGGAGATTTGCTGGAATTTTATAATCACCAAGAACAGGAAGGCCACTGGTTACCAACACCTGTTCTAGCTGCATCTTAGTTTGGTTAAATAATTATCAATGTTCAGGTTGATTTCATTTAATAACACAGCCATCTCCATAAAAAATGCTAATTACTTTGTCAACTCTTGCCGAATATTGAGAAATCCTTGAACTGGATGTATGACATACATTGATAATTAAACAAGTATGTAAATCATTGCTTACAACATAATAACCAATATTTGAGGAATACTTTTGCTAGAGGAGAGTTATCAGCTGATTTATTAAAAGGTTTTTGAAAGTGATATTGGTAAATGTGTTTATTTTTCTCTACTTGATATTTTACTTAAATAATTGTTTTTCTAATCTTCTAGGTTGGGTTACCAGGATACATTGTGAAGCGTTGTGCTGCTCAGATTTCCGAAGCATTATTTTTCATTCATAATCAAGGGTTGGTGCATAGAGACCTGAAACCAGACAACATCTTGCTTATGGATAAAGAATGCCACAACATCAAGATCGGAGATTTTGGTCTAACAGAACGTTTTGGTAGATTCATCCCATCGATGTCTCATATAATACCATACATGGCACCTGAGCTTTCTATTCTGGAACCTAACCAGTATCTACACTTGGGTCCAAGTATTGATGTCTGGGCATTTGGAGTCACCCTGTATGTAGCTCTCACTGGCTGCTTTCCATGGCTGGAAGCTGTAAACAGAGACCATCATTTCCAGATATTTGCAAGCTGGAAAACATACGGCGAGTTAGACTCTCCCCCTGTTTCCTGGCAGAGTTTCACCAGGGAAGCATTGGTTATGTTTTCCAGTTTACTTTCACTGGATCCTTCCTTTAGAATGTCTGGTGGTATTGTTTACAATTACCTGCATGTACCATGGAAATACAAAGAGCTGAACATTAATAGGTGAGAGGTTTAAGCTCTTTGTCAGCCAAGGACAGGAAGCAATAGCAATGGCAGAGCTTACAGATGTCATGACACTTGTACATGGATATCAAGTGTAGTAAAAGGACCTCAGGTCTTCGAGGATGCCATGTACGTGAAGGTAGGTTTGTATTAAAATTTGTTTATTTATAACATTTTAATAGCAGTGCTCTGTAGGGAAAAGAGGATCGCAACATTATCTAGTGTACCTCAATACAAAATGAAAAAGTACTGGTACTGGATCGGACGTTATAAGAGTTGGGAACAGCCGGGGAGTACATTCTGCTCAGGTAGGGTGGGAGCTTTCCAAAAAAATCTCTTAAACACAAGGCTGAAAAGATTAAGGTTCCTGTCTTGATTCCAGCAATAGCCAGTTTAGCTTTTATCATGTCACAATGGTTGGTCATGTCATTACAGTGTAGCAAAAAGCAGCAGGATGAGTTATACAATGTAGTAAGTTTATGAAGGTGGATTTGTAATACAGGTGCATACACTACATCCCTATATAGGATATACCTGTGTGTCTTAACCATCCTTTATCGCCTCTCTCATCCATTTTTAAATACTTCTAAAAATCTGCTTCAAAATAGGAGTAATCGCATTACCCATCATTTCATAAATTTTTAAATACACATTTTTTATACAATCTGTCCAATAATTTAACATACCTTCCACCCCTCCTTTTATCTTTATTGGGGGAAGGATGTGGGCGGTATAAAATTGAACATAATTGGATATACCCATTAAGGAAGATTTAGTTAAGCCCCATATGAAAGAATGCATCCATATATAAACCAGTTTATTCATGTGTCTTGTGCATAAATTTGAATAGAGTTCATGTATTATGAATGCTTTATACTAGAATTTTCATACATATTTATGGTTTTTTTTCATTAATAAAGTCTATTTAGATTTGATAAAAAAAGTTTATTAGTTACAAGCACTTTAATCATACCCTCTCTTTCCCTTTTTTCTACATGCCCACTGAATAACTTGAACAAAGGCCTACTCACAGCCGTTCAGGCAGTGAGTGGCGTGGAACGCATACATCATCGCTTCAATTACATATTTATGCGAATGGATGTGGACTTACAAACACACAGGCTTGGGCACACAGAACAAAGTGGGATCACATCAAAAAGGACGGAACCCAGAACTGAATAGGAGTAAATATATCTGAGCTGGGAAAAAAATAAATAGTTGATCCATCAATGCTTTCTATGGCTCCTATGAGGGGTTTATATGAGACTTGAGGGTCTTGACATCCTTCTCTTGCCAGATTATTCTAGCTGGGTACCTTATGACCGGTAGGGCATATGTACTGTTGGCTTGGATCTTGTTCTTGCCATTCAGCTGGGACTTCAGGCCCCATCTGACTCTCTGGAGGTACTTGGATGTTGTCCTTTCCTCGTGGTTGCCATATGCTTGTGGTACCCCCAGGTACTTGTAGATATTCTCGACATCTATTATTCAGATTTCTGGTACTTGAACTCCTTCTGTCCTGATCTTCACTTTTCTTGCTGTCACGCTGGCAATCCTGGGAGACTCCATGCCCGGTCAGCATTACAGCGTGCCCCCACTTGATCAGCATGGACACTAAAGCTATAAATCAAGCTCTTGCCTGGTCTTCCTCCGGTCTCCATGCTACACGGCCGGGAATCACGCTGGCATTCTCAAGAACGCTGGCCGCTTCCAATTTAAAGGAACAGCCTCCATTTTTTACACTAGTGATGCAGACGTCTCCAGGTCACAGTAGCCAGCTAGAGCCCTACCTGGGCTAATTAAACTCCCTGGTCCATTTGTTTGATGCCCTATCATGGTTTCCATGTGTTTGGTTTATCTGAGAGCGCGTTATATAGTTAGGGTAATTCTGGCATTTTGACCTTGGCTTGTCAACTTTTCTGCTTTCTATTGTCCCTGACTATTCTTTGTTTATTTTGACTTCTGTATACCTGATCTTGGCTTGTCTTGTACTACTCTATTGGTGTTTAATCCGGCCATTCTAAGGTCTGGTAATAGGCTTACTGTCTTTTCATATTTGCTGTTCTTGTTGGATCCGATCTGTCCTTGACATTACGACAGGACCATTATGGATCCTGCATTTATAAGCCAGCAAATGACTACCCACAAGATCAACGTAGAAGAACCTGATCATAGGATGGATCAGTTTGCTCAGGCACTTCAGACTGTTATGACTCTCCGGCCTGCAGTGTCTGAGGCCTCCTATTATGAAAGCCCTTCTATTAAGTGGACACCTCCTCCTAGGTTTAGTGCTGAACCCCCTCGAATTTCGAGGATTCTTGAATCAGATTGAGTATCACTTTGAGGCTTCACCTAGGACTTTCCTTCTGACCTAACAAAGAAAGTTTATTGTTCCATAAATCTATCAATAGGTGTTTTACATAAGGAATCTTATTTTTCAGGTTATATCCTCTCCATCCTGTCCGGTTGTCTTGGGTTTCCTCTGGCTTTCTTTACACAACCCTCATTGATTGAATTCAGTGTGAATTATTATCATGGGGTGATTCATGCACAGAAAGAAGCATACAACCAAAACTTATTAATGTATCTAATGCCACACCTTTATCCATGGAAATACCGTCCCAATATATGTCCATTAAAGAGGTGTTCAATAAGATTCATGCTGAAACGCTGCCACCACACAGACCTTTCGACTGTACCATTGATTCATTGCCTGGTCCTACTAGAGGTCATGTGTATCCACTATCCCCATAGGGAAGTGTTATAATGGAGGAATACATGTAGGAATCCCTCTCTCTAAGGGTTTCATACGTCACTCCTCTCCTGCTTGAGTGTTTGTTTTTTCTTCGTTTCTAAGGAAGGAAGGTGACCCGAGTATTGACTGCAGAGGTCTAAATAAAATAACCATAACGAATGACTATCCTATTCCTCTTATATCAGAACTGTTCAATAGACTTAAATGGGCTGTTTTTATTAAACTGGATCTCTGTAGTGCTTATAATTTAATAAAAATAAAGGAGGGACATGAATGGAAGACAGCATTCAATACAAGGAATGGGCACTATGAATATTTAGTCATGCCTTTTGGCTTGTGCAACACCCCCACTGTATTCCAAGACCTGATCAATTTTGTTTTAAGAGATTACATTCATTCATGTGTCTTGTTATATCTTGACATTATACTCATCTTTTCTTCCGATCTCCACACACATCACATTCATGTGAAGACAGATCTACAGACGTTGAAGGGTTTATATTGCAAATAAGAAAAGGTTCATTTCTTGGGTACATAATTTCCTTCTAATTTTTCTATGGATCCCAAAAAATTAGAAGCCATACTCAACTGGCCCTTTCCCAAAGATAAACACTGTAGGTTTATCCAAGTGTTAGCACATTTCTTTGTTAGGTTCGTGATAGAAGCTATTACAGATGAAAATACACAATACTGGCCTCCCGATGCCTTTTCAGCATTTGAAAGATTACAATTGTTGTTTACTGTTGCCCCAGTTCATCATCCTGACTCCTCCAAACCATTTGTTTTGGAGGTAGATGCATCAGAAACAGGACTTTGGGCTGTTCTTTCTCAAAGAGAATCGCCAGACAAACCACTACATGCCTGGGAATTATTAAAGAAATTCTCTCCTGCTGAACGAAATTACGATATTGGTAATTGCAAACTAACGGCCATCATTCTAGCTCTGAAGGAATGAAGACACCTTATAGAGGGATCCACGATACCTGTCATGATCATAACCGACCATAGGAACTTGGCATAGATCAGCGAAGCCAAACTTAACTTCCAGACAAGTCAGGTGGTCTTTGTCTAGATTCAACAATATAACATACAGACCAGGTACCAGAAATACAAAGGCTGATGTCTTGTCCAGACAATTTGATATGGAAGATGATATTGAAGAGGTTATCTCCCATCATTCCCTCTGAACGCATTGTAGCTACCACCTTCCTATCCTTGTCATCTTGTGTGTTAGAAAAAAAATACAGGCAGGACAGTCATAGGCTCCTCTCAAAATGCTTTCCCGATGTATTGTATGTACCGGTTTCAGAAAGACCTAGTGTCTTATTTCATGAAAACATTACAGCAGGACATCCGGGCATCCATAAGACCATATCCGCTATCTTTCGGCAATTTTGGTGGCCTACATTACACATCAATACCAGAGGGTAAAATCGCTGATTGCGTAACAAGTGCTAAAGTTAAGACCACTAGAAACCTGCCTTGTGGATTATTACAACCTTTCGATATCCCAGACGTACCTTGGTCACATTTAGCAATGGATTTTATAGTTGATTTACCTAAATCTAAGGCTCACTACTATTTTGACAGCCATGGATACAATTTTCTAAAATGGTGCATCTAATCCCTCTCGTGAATTGGCTTTGATTTTTATCAAAGAGGTGTTTCGTTTGCATGGGCTTCCTCAAGAGTGTGTCGGATAGAAGGAGTCAGTTCATTTCTAAGTTTTGGAAGAAGTTTTGCAGTGAGATGGGTATCAAGAGGTCTTATTCTTCTGCTTACCACCCACAGTCTAATGGTGAGGCTGAAAGAGCCAACCAGTCTCTGGAAAACTATTTAAGATGTTTTATTTCCCATAACCAAGACAACTGCTCTGATCTCATTCCCTGGGCTGAGTTCGCACGCAACAACTCCACACAAGACTTCTCTCGGTTTGGCCCATTCAACATTAATCATTGACTTCATTTCATTGTTCTTCCGGATTCCTTTTCTAAAAGTGGTATGCCCGTGTTAGATCAGCATCTATCTTCTCTTCAGAATACCTGGGTTCAGATTAAAGCCTCTCTCCCAAGCAGCTAAACGTTATAAGCATTTTTCAGACAGACACAGGAGTGTTGGTCCTTACTACTTAGTGGGTGACAAGGTCTGGCCCTCTACACGTAATCTGCGACTAAAAGTTCAGTCAATGAAATTGGCACCACAGGTTTGTAGGTTCCTACCGTGTTTTAGGGAAGGTTAATCCTGT